TTGCTGTGGCTATTCGGGGTCTTTTATTGTTCCCAATGAATTCTTGGAGAGTTCTTTCTAGGTCAGTGAAATATGCCATTGATATTTTAATGAGGAGTGCATTGAACATATAGATTGCTTTAGGAAGTATGAGCATTTTGATGATGTTTATTCTACCAATCCATGAACATGGTATATTCTTCCATCTGTTTAAACCTTCCTCTATCTCTTTTTCAGTGTCGTGTAGTTTTCCGCATATAGGTACGTTACTTCCTTAGTTAAGTTTATTCCCGGTATCTTAATTTTTTTGGTGCAATGGTAAATGGAATTGCTTTTTTAGTCTCTGTTTCTGTAATTTCACTGTTGGTGTATAGAAATGCCATAGATTTCTTGGCGTTAATTTTGTATACTGCTACGTTGCCAAATTCATTTATTAAGTCAATTAGATTTTTAATGGAGTCCTTTCGGTTTTTTATGTACAATATCATGTCATCTGCAAATAAGAATAACTTTACTACTTCTTTTCCCAATTTGGATGCCTTTCATTTTCTCTTTTTGTCTAATTGCAATGGCTAGTACTTCCAGTATTATGTCAAAGAGTAGTGGCAATAGTGGGCATCACTGTCTTGTTCCTGTTCTTAGAGAGAATGGTTTTAGTTTTTGCCCATTGAGTATGATGTTGGCTGTGGGTTTATCATATATAGCTTTCATTATTTTGAAGTATGATCCTTGTACTCCCACCTTGTTGAGAGTTTTTATCAAGAAAGGATGTTGGATTTTATCAAATGCTTTTTCTGCATCAATTGATATTACGATATAATTTTTATCTTTCAATTTGTTTATGTGATGTATCACGTTTATTGATTTGCAGATATTGTACCATACTTGCATTCCTGGAATAAATCCTACTTAGTCATGGTGTATAATCTTTGTGATGCTCTGGTGGAGCCGATTTGCTAGAATTTTGTTGAGGATTTTGGCATCTATGTTCATGAGGGATATTGGCCTGTAATTCTCTTTCATTGAGTTGTCTTTATCTGGTTTTGGTATTAGCTTGATGCTGGCTTCATAGAAGGAGTTTGGAATGTTCCATCCTCTTGAATTTTTTTGAACAGTCTGAGGAGAATAAGTTTTAGTTACTCCTTGAATGTTTGGTAAAACTCTCCTGTGAAGCCATCTGGCCCTGGGCTTTTGTTTTCTGGAAGCTTTTTGATGATTATTTCAATTTCTTCCCAAGTCACTGATCTATTGAGATTTTTAGATTCTTCCTGATTGAGTTTTGGAAGTCTGTATTTTTCTAGTAATATGTCCATTTCCTCCAGGTTATTCAGTTTGTTGGAATAGAGTTGTTTGTAGTATTTTGTAACAATCCTTTGTTTTTTGGTGGGGTTTGTTGTTATTTCACTTCTTTCATTTCTGATTTTCTTTATTTGAGTCCTCTCTCTTTGCTTCTTGGTTAGCCTAGCTAGAGGTTCATCTATCTTGTTTACCCTTTCAAGGAACCAGCTCTTGGTTTCATTGATCTTAAGTATTGTTTCATTGGTCTCTATGTCGTTTATCTCCACTCTGATTTTTGTTATTTCCTTCCTACTGCTTACACTGGGATTTTGTTGTTGCTCTTTTCCTAACTCTTTCAGTTGTAGAGTTAGATAATTTGTTACCACATTTTTCTTGGTTTTTGCAATAGGATTGTTGGGATATGAACTTCCCTTTCAAAACTGCTTTTGCTGTGTCCCATAGATTTTGGATTTTTGTGTTTTCATTGTCATTTGCTGCCAGGATGTTTTTAATTTCTTCCTTGATTTCTCTGGTATCCCAGACCTTGTTTAATAGCATGCTGTTTAATCTCCATGTGTTTGATTTTTTTGGATTATTTTTATTGTAGTTAATTTCCAGTTTTATGCCACTATGATCTGAGCAGATGCTTGATATGATTTCTATCTTCTTGAATTTGAAGAGACTTTGCCTATGTCCCAAAATGTGGTCTATCTTTGAGAATGTCCCATGTGCACTTGAGAAGAATGTATATTCTGTGGCTTTGGGTGGAATGTTCTGAAGATGTCGATTAATTCCATCTGGTCTAGTGAGTCATTTACAATTGATATTTCTTTGCTGATTTTTTGTTTAGATGATTTGTCAAAAGGTGACAGTGGAGTATTAAAATCTCCTACTCTGATTGTATTGCTATTAATCTCTCCCTTAATGTCCTCCAGCAGTTTTTTGTTTTTTTGTTTTTTTTTAATGTATTTGGGTGCTCCTGTGTTGGGTGCATATATGTTTACCAGGGTTATTTCTTCTTGTTGCATTGCTCCCTTTAGTATTATGAAGTGGCCTCCATTATCTCTTGTTATGTCCTTCACTTTGAGGTCTAATTTGTCAGATATAAGTATTGCTACCCCAGCTTTTTTTTCATTTCATTTGCCTGGAAAACTTTTTTCCATCCCTTCACCCTCAGTCTGTGTGCGTATTTTTTTCTGAGTGGGTTTCTTGTAGACAACAGATACATGGGTCTTGTTTTCTTATCCAATCTGTTACCCTATGTCTTTTGATTGAAGCATTTAATCCATTTACATTTACAGTTATTATTGATAGGTATTAATTTGACCCCATTTTTATTCTATACCCCTGTGTTTCTTCTTTGCTTCCTATTTCTTTGTTTTTACAGTAGACCCTTTAGCATTTCTTGCATTGCTGGTTTGGTGGTGATAAATACCTTTAGTCTTTTTTTGTCTGTGAAGCTCCTGATTTCACCTTCAGTTTTGATTGATAGCCTTGCTGGGTACAGTATTCTTGGATTCAGACCCTCTCTTTGCATGATTTTGTATATTTCATCCCATTCCCTTCTGGCCTGATAAATTTCTGTGGAGAAATCAGTTGCTAGTCTGATGAGGGTTCCTTTATATGTAACTTTCTGTCTCTCTCTGGCTGCTTTTAAGATTCTTATTTCATCGTTGGTGTTTGCCAGTTAAATTATAATGTGCCTTGGCGTCGGTCTTCTGGGATTCATTTTGCTTGGTACTCTGCAAGCATTTTGGATTTGTGTGGGTTTTTTCTTATCTATCTCAGGAAAGTTTTCTGTCATTATTTCTTGAAATACATTTTCCATGTCTTCCTCAATTTCCTTTCCTTCTGTAACCCCTTTTACTCTAATATTGTTTTGTTTTGTTTTGTTTTATCCCAAAGTTCCTTAGGCTCTCCTCCTGCTTTTTAATTTTTTTTTTCTAGAAGCTGTTCTAATTGGGTATTTTTTTCCTTCTTGTCTTCTAGCTCACTGATGCAGTCCTCTGCTTCTTCTAGTCTGCTCTTGATGCTTTCTATTGAGTTATTCATAGTAGCGATGTCATTTTTCATTTCTTCTTGAGTCATCTTCGTTTCCTCTTGGTTCATCTTCATTTCCTCTTGAGTCTTACTCATATTGTCAAATTTGGCTTCCATTCTTTTTAGCCATCTTATGATCTTTACTGTGAATTCTTGCTCTGGTAGGTTGCTCGCCTCTAACTCATTTACTTCCTTTTCTGGTGATGCCTGCTTTTCTTTCATATGCGGACTATTTCTTTGTATCCCCATGGTCTCTCTTTTCAGGATGTCTGGTTATGTAGATCTCTCTCTCCTGCACTGATTTAAAGGCACAAAATGAAACACAACCAGGTACAACACACAAGGCACTGAACAGAAATATATTTGCGATATTATTAACCTCCAATAAAGGTGACCACTAGGGAAAGGCCAATTAGGGGATAGGAGAGAAAGAGGAAGAGTAAAAAGAGAAGAGGGTGCAAAAGAAAAAGATAGGAAAAAGATAAATATATATATATATATATATATATATATATATATATATATGAAAAAAGGAGTGTCAAAATGAAATTGGGAAACAGGGAGAAGAAAGAGAGAGAGAGAGAGAGAGAGAGAGAGAGAGAGAGAGAGAGAGAGAGAGAGAGAAAATAAGAGATAAAAGGGGAATAAACTATATATATGGGGAGAGAATTTCAATTGAACAACCGCTAACCCCAACAAATGCTGGCAGCAGTACCTGGAAAATAATACAATCTACAACACCCACTAATTTCCAGCAAAGGAAGGAAAACAGAATTAAAAAAAACAAAAAATAAACAAGAACCAATCAAATAAGAAAATACCAAGTAACAGCAACAACAAAAGAATAAGCAAAATACTCTCACTAAAAAGCATAAAAATACAATATAATCAATATTCCCCCAAACAGCATCAAAAGGACAGTGAGGAAAACAATTTTTTTTCCTCTTCCTCCTCCAGCTTTATTGGATAGTTTAAAATTACATTTCTATTTTCTAAGACTTCAGTTGCTTTTTCCATCTGACTTTTAATTACTGATTACATCAAATGAAGCACAGTTGTCTAAGTGATATAGTATACAAAAATAATATCTTGATTTCTGTGAAAATGCATTTCTCTTCAATTACTGAATAGCTCAAATTATGCTTACTTTAAGCATAGATGTTTACTCTGGGTTTTAGATTTACTCTTTGCAAAAAATGTGTTCTAAACCTTTGCCATCACCATTTGTGTATGCAGCATCAATGCTGTTAAGTTGTTCCTATTTAAGCTTTTATTCTGATTTTCCTCCCATAGACATTAAGAGGCATATTTGTCTTTTTATTTTGTTTACTCCCACTCAACTGGATGTCCTATGTAGGGCCTGATACAGATGTTTCTTGTTACTTAATAGCTACTGAGGTCAGACAATCCAAGGCCATCATTATGCTAAAATTAAAGTTATTTATGGAAGCTCACAGACACTTCCAAAATTGGTTTTTACCTCCTACATGGGAATATATTTAACAAACCAAGAAAGGGCTTACTGGTCTGATTCAATTCTTCCCATTCATCAATCCCTATTCACAGTGGCATGGAAAGGGGGTTCTTTAACAAAGCAATATTCATAATACCTCTACCAAACTAAACATAAACTTTTTTTGTAGTTAAATGCAGAAAATTGAATTTTTTCCACCCCTTTCCTCATTTTACATGGCAAGTAAAGTTCACTGGCCTGGGAATAGCCACTATCTGCCAACCTTTGGCCAGTGAAGAGGATTCAGAGAAAATAATACAACCATCAATCAGAAAAAGGAGGGGCAACAAAGGAAAATAATTAAGCTGTGGCCTCAATTGTGCAAGGTGCCCTGATTCGCCACAGCAGTAACAGTTGACTTCACTTGTCTTGCTGCAGTTGATGGCTACATGACCAGTTTCAACACACCTATAGCACTTCGCTTTGGTGCAGTTTTTTTTTTAATATGCCCAAATTCTCCACAAGAATAGCACTTCTGCTCATCTGCATGGTCACAGTCACGAGCCAGATGGCCTGGTTTGCCACAGTTGTAGCAGCATTGCTCTCGCTCTCTCTTGGGCTCCTTGCAGTCCTTGGCAATGTGGCCACCTCTACCACAGTTATAGCAGGCATCCTCCTGAAGATCACAATCCTTGGCAAGGTGACCAGACTCACCAGAGCGATAACAGATGTCTGGAAGAGATGAGGAAACAAACTGGAAACCTCTATCTGAGGTAAAACCATCTCTGCCACGGCTTCTCATTCCACAACCACTGCCTCCACCAGTAGGGCATTCGCGGGCCCAGTGGCCAGATTGTCCACACTTGAAGCACTCATTGGTGCTCATGGCTGCAGTTTAGATCTTCCTGCATCAGGGCAGGCCTGTGCCGCCGGAGGACGAGAGGCAGGCCGAGGTGAGCGGTTAGCCAGGCAGTGGCTGTTTATTTTCAGGAGGGTCCTTGCTGGCGCCACATGCATAAAAATACAATATAATCAACATTCCCCCAAACAGCATCAAAAGGACAGTGAGGAAAACAATTTTTTTTATTTTTATTTATTTATTTATTTTTGCTAGTTAATACAGCTCAGAGAGGGGTGTGTATGCACTTGGTACAGGGGATTGGAAATTAGATATATAAGTAGGGTAGAAATTTTAGTAGGAGGGATACAGAAAGAGTAAGGAAAATCTAAAGCAGGAGAGGGTTAAGATAAACAGGATAGCAAAAGGGGTATGGTTAGAAAGAGAGTGATGGTGTAAAGGTCATGTTGAGATGGGGTTAAACAATGTTAAAGGAGAAATGAAAATAAAATGAAGAACACTAATTCAAATGTAAAATAAAGAGAAAATAAAATGGCACTTAAAAAATTAAAATAGCAGTAGTAATAATGCTTATTGAACCTAAAAATGTAATAATTAAAGTTAAAATCAAGTGAGGAAAAAAGGGAAAAAAATGTTTCTTAAGTAAAAGATGCAAAAAATGAAGATAAAATAAAATAAAATAAAGTTAAATAAAATAAAAAAAATAAAATAAAATAGCAAAAAAAAAGTGTGCAGTTGTGAAGGCCATTCACTTCTTCTGTTATCCTGTTTGGCATGCCTGTTTCTCAGTGCAGACAGTACTGCAGTTCCCTGTGTTCTGCTGCACCTCAGTGAAGATTCCTTAGTTTCTTGGTTTTTGATCAAATAAAACTAGTAATAAACACAGACAGTTTGTACTCCAGACCCTAGGTGGCAGTGTTTCTGGATTGATGTCCCAGTCTTTTTGGCTGCTCTAGCCTTCTTTTTCTATGACACTCAATACCGTTTGTGTGTGTGTGTGTGTGTGAGTGTGTGTGTGTGTGTGTGAGTGTGTGTGTGTGTGTGTGTGTGTGTTTTGCCTTGCAGCTGAATCCTGGATGATTTCTCCCCACTCTGCTTCTCAGCTTCCAGAAAAGCAGTTTCCTCCTGCTGCCTCTTAGGGTCAGCCAATCTGGGTGATCTCTCCTTTGTAATCAGAAGCAAAGTGTTGCAAGGGAACCAGCCTACGTGCACTATGGGCTAGTCTGCGTGCACTTAAAAACAGACTGCTTTCCAACTCCTATGTTCTCCCTCAATGTCGGATCAGAATGGGTTGCTCCCTAGAGAACCCCACTATTAGCAACCTTGGGGACCCCCGTTCACTCTCTCCAAACACGCCAGACCCAACAGCAGGGGGATTTTGTGGACACAGATTTCCGTGGACACGGATTCGGATTTTCGCAGTCCCAGTGCGCGCTCTTTTGTCTCTGCCGCCACTGTGGCCGCAGCTTCTGCGGCTGCTGCTTTCACTGTTGGGACACAGACACCCCATGTTATCCCCAGCAAAATCCAACCTTTCTGAGGAATCCGCATGTCCGCACCGGTCGGGGCACCCACAGTTGTGGTTTTTTTCAGGTCTCAGGTAAGATCCCCAAATGCAGCACTGATGTGGATGTGAGAGGCAGCACATACAAGTGTTTACCTGGCCCTGAAAGCTGTTTTATTGAGAACAACTGTTTTAAAGGAAGAAAAATGGGTGCCACATCAACTGAATTAAAGAAAATTGGAAAACTGAAAGTCATCAGTAAAATGTTGCTTCAACAGCATGAAAGAAAGTCTTTCTTTGCATTGAATTGTTACTGGCAATGAAAAGTGGATTTATTTTGAGCATCCCAAACATAAAAAATCACTGTTGATCCAGGTCAACCGTCAACATCGACTCAAGGCCAAATCGCTTCGGAAAGAAGACAATGGTCTGTGTTTGGTGGGATCAGAGAGAAGTAGCAAACTCAATGTATCATCATTAGCTGTCATTATTATATTTTGACAGTCTTGTTTCATCTACTCCCTCCCTTCCTGTCTTATTTGAAAGCCAACCCAGCTATCATAGCATTTCATGTCTCACCTTATTAGTCCATAACTTTAAAGCAGCAGGACTCTTCCTTTTATTAATATCACATCCCAAACAATAAATACCTAATAGCAAATATCCAACAAGGTTCACAAGACATCCCTATCTCTTAAATGCTTGTCACTTTGCCTAAATGACAGTGTGAGTGGGTGGGTGGGGGGGACAGATGTCTCCCTAGTTTCTGTGAAAATGCAAGTCCCTTTCTGTGAGGAAACCTCCTAAACTTGTTTTCCCTCAAGGTCACAGGCTGGGTAACCCAGGGCAGGGTATTAGACAGAAGTAAGAGGGAGGCCAGAGCCATAGAATGTCTCAAACAGCGTGCCTGCCTTGAATTCAACCTTCACAGGCTTCTAGAATTACCCACAAGAAATAATCTCAATGCTGAGAGGCACACAGTGGGTGGGGAGATGTGTTTGCTTCTGTGCCAGTGGCTGGCTTTCAGGCTGAGCCCAGCCCTGTGATGGAGACAGAGGGCATGACACCCTAATTGATCATAGATGCTCTTTTCCTTTTTTGTTCTCAAAAGGCAGTTATTACTCTCAGTCACCTCATGCTAAAATAAAATATCATAGACTGGGTGGTAAACAACCAATATTTATTTCTCACTCTTCTGGAAGGTCTAAGATCAAGGTGCCGGCAGATTTGGTGTGTGGGGAGAGCCTGCTTCCTGGTTGTTGTGTCCTCATCTGGTGGAGAGAAAGCTCCACTCCCTTCCTCTTCTTCTAAGGACACCAATCCCATCACGTGGGAGCTCCAACCTCCTGTCCTCATCTAGCTCTATCCACCTCCCAAAGGTCCCAGTTCCAGATGCCATCATATTGGGGACTAGGGTTTTAGCACATAAGTTTTGGGAGTACTAACATTTGGTCCACAGCAATTACACGTTATCTTTTCAGGTGCTCTGACAGGTGGAAGAGAAAAATCTTACTCTAGGATCATAGTCACTGAGGCTTGTCTTGGTGGGAAAATCTGGCCGAGGGAAAAGTGCCACTGGGAACAGCATTCTCTGCCAGCACCCCTTGTCCCTGGCCTCCCTCAGCCTGAAGTGTCTCAGTGGGTTCCCAGCAGCTCCAGCACCATCAGTGTAGGGAGCCCCTGCTGAGCCCGTGTGCCCTCCCTTAGGCCAATGTCTGACCTCCAAATCCTTTCTCTCACACCCCATTTTCCTGCAACTTCATCATCTATCACACAGTTGCTTTTGGAAGCAGGAACCTTGCATCATTTCTCTTACATTCCTGGTGCTGAGCAGAGAAGCTAACACTCAGTATTCGTGAAATAAATGCCTGTGCAGCTGGACTGAATTAAGTCCAGGAAGGGGGAGACCTAGGCAGGTTGGACAGTTTGGGAACTGTGTTGCAGAGGTGGTCCCTGGCCAGAGAACACAAGTTCCTGAGGGTGCACAGAGTTTGAGGAGCTTATACATCACACTCCTGTGGGGGTTTGGAATCAGTAATGTGCTACAGCTGGTCAGATCAAGGCGACACCTCTGTTACTAGTAGAGGTTTGGAGAATGATAGCTGGGTGGCACCATTAAGTTCCTAAGACTCATCCCAGACTAATCATTTACTATCCAGTCACAGGATGTCTGGGACCACTGCAGGTCTCCTGTACAGGATACTAATGAGCAGAGAAAGGGGTCAGTCAACAAAAGGAGAGGGTGAGGCAGGGGCCACCTGGGACTTTATCTGACTTTCCATTTTCACCAATTTCATGATCTCTCCCCCGATGTCACCCCAATGCCTGCCCTCTTCCCTTTGCAACTTTGGAGGTGTCGAACAACCCTCCCTCCTCGAGTTCCCATACATGATTGTGCGGACTTTGCAGCTAAAGAAGCTGCTTTACAAGACAGCTCCACCAACAATGGGAATTTACTGTAAACGGGAATGGGACCACTTGGCCTGCCGCCAGTTTTACAGCCTCCCAGTTAAGATGGAAGGCCTTTTAGGTATTGAAAAAGTTGAAGAAATAGCTGAAACCAGTTTGGCTCAATGGATAGAGTGTTGGACTAAGGACTGTAAGATCCTGAACCCGATGAAGGGCATGTACCTTGGTTGCGGGCACATCCCCAGTAGGGGGTGTGCAAGAAGCAGCTGATCGATGATTCTCTCTCATCGATGTTTCTAACTCTCTATCCCTCTCTCTTCCTCTCTGTAAAAAATAAATTAAAAATAAATTTTAAAAATGATTTCTTTTTAAAAAAAAGTTGAAGAAATAAAAAGAAGAATAATGTTTCATCACCACATAAGAAAGCCAAATGAAATTCAAATTTCAGTGTTCACAAAGTTTTATGGAATTCAACCTCACACATCACTTATATCTTGTCCATCCACCATTTCCTTTGTGAGTAACTTAGATCATGTAGTCTGCTGAGCCACTCTCTGACTCTGCTCTATGAAACCCCAGTTCCTTTCTTCCCCCAGCCACTGTCTCTGCTTTCCCCAAGGCCTCACCCCATCCTACCTCTGTGGCCATTTTCTCTTCTCCTCACATGTCCATGTCCCCTCCCACCTTCCTCCTCAGTCCCCTCATGCCTCCAAAATTCCCCCCAGACATCCTCTCTCAAATGGGAATGGTGATGGGTGTCATCCCTTACAGCCTATGATGAAATCAGAGCACATTTCTGAATAATATAAGGAATTCTACATCCAGCTTCTAATATAATGTATATCTTTCCTCACAGTTGACTCACCTTCCTTTCTACAAAAACCTCCCAAAGATTCCAGGATTGTATCTAGCTAAGTTATTATTTACCATCATGATTTTTAACAAAACCAAAAATAGTTTGGGTTTTTTTTTTTTTGGATTTTATTTATCTAGAAGCACTAAAAGAACATGAATGGCATGTCTAATGCAAGGAAGAAAAATTAAAACTGAACTTAAGCAAAAAGCGAATAAGTTTCTTACAAGCATAGACAGAGATGGTGAATCTGAAAAAAAAAAAAAGAAGCTAATTGTAGATGTCAGCTGAAAGTGCTCAGCGTCCTTGAGTAATACACAAGTTAATTAAAATGGCAAGCAAAATCAGAATGCATATCACAAGGATAAAAGATAACCCAGTGTTAAAAAGCATCCAGTTTTTGACTCTGAGGTGCGCCTTGGACAACCAGTGACTCCAGTTGTCACTATTTGTGACATGTGCTTGCACCTTAGCCAGGTAGCTCCTGCGCTCTTCACGGGTGCCACCTCCCTGTCTCAGGAGCATCTGTGCATCAGCGTAGAGGACGTTTGTGAAGAAGGCACCCTTGTGCTCTCTCTCCAGGCTCTTGATCATAGCCATCAGCTCCTCCAGCTGCTCCTTCTGCTCCTCCCCGGTGGCTCGGTTGTTGAAGCCACAGTACCTCCTCCCACACTCCTGGATCAGGCTCCTCAGCCTGTAGTTGTCCGTATTGACTATATACTCATCCAAGGAGTCACCCTTTAAGTCCTCCTTGTGGGTGAAGAGGACCACCACATATCTCATGGCACCTGGCCCAAAGACCTCCTTCACCCTTTCTGCTGCCTTTGTGTCCTGGTCAGTGAAGCGCCCCAGCTGTGTCACCAGCAGCAGCACGTGGGGCCCTGGGGCTGAGAGCAGGTAGCAGTCCCCGATGTTCTTGTACATCTCTTGGTCTGGGGACTTTTCATCAAAGATGGATGGTGTGTCAACCACCAGGATGTCCCTGCCATTCCACGTGCCTGTGGCCCTCTGGCACTTCCTGGTCACGGTCTGGGGACTCAGTTTGGACTCAAACTTAGCCTGGCAGAGGATGCTGTTTCCAGTGGCACTTTTCCCGCTGCCGGTTTTGCCCACCAGGATGAGCCTCAGTGAGGATGATGATGCAAACTGGTTATTTTCTACAATTCCTGAAAGAGAAAAATTGTGTCCTACTAAGATATTGCTGCAGATCATGGACCATCATGGTATCTCATTAAATCTGTGGACCTCCCTCCCAGGAAACTGTAATATCTAAATACACAGCCAAATTTGCTGACAACTGGGTGAAGTTCTAGGGTCATAGAAAGTCTACATCGAAAGTCCATGTTGGACCCATAGCCAAGAGTAAGAACTGCTACACTGACGAGGATGCTCCAGGACCTTAACCCTGATGAGGGAAGATACAGTTTTTCTGAAAGTATAGTGGTCCTGTGTTTCTCCAGGGATGGTGCTTAGGCCAGTTTCATGCTAAATAAATGAAGTGAGGTTAGGAGGAGGCAGAGGATGAGAACTCACACATGGGAAAATATTACCACCTCTTTTTCACCCACAAATTCCAGGCACACATGTGTAAAAGTGCTCAAGACATTCATAAACCTCGGGATGAAAGGGAGCCACAGATGAGATCTCTCACCAAGGACCAGCTGAGGTACCTGGACCTTGGCTCTTTGAGTGGGAGTTGGATGCTTGAAATTGAGACAGCAGGAAGATCAAAGATAATGTCAAAGGCAAAGACAGGGAGATGACTCCCTAAGGGTGGCTGAAGAGAATGGAATTTAGGACCATTAATAGTACATGTGATGGGAAGGTCACCTTCTTGGTGATTAAATTACAGGAAGTTAACAGAAATGATGCTGGGAGGGAAACATTGAGTCAGGAGCTAAAACCTTCAAGGGATGAAGGAAGATGAGAACGGATGTTCTAGAATTATTATGGGCCCCAATGGATTCCAAATTCACTGTAGGCTTCTAAAATCTATTATTTTATTTCTACTCTGTGTTGGTTCTTCCTTTTCTGCAGGGTTCTGGGATGTTTTTATAGCAAACATGATTACTAAGTCTCTCTGGAAAACTTTTCCATTTATTCAGCTCAGAGAAGACAAGGAAAGAGAAAATTTATTCACAATACAGTTCAAAATCTTGCAACTTCTGACTTGAAGTTTCATTTCCACATTTCCCACATGATGTGTCTGGAAAGCATTGTACTAGGGGATCAGGTGTGTGTGTGTGTGTGTGTGTGTGTGTGTGTGTGTGTGTGTGTGTGTGATGGTGGTTGGGAAGGTAAAGAAAAAAATTAGCATTATATTTTTCTTCTTCAGTTTAAAATCACTGGGTTTCTGTCACTGTGTTTGAGGTAAGGGACTGGTGCCTTTTAAGAACTTGGGGGCTTTCTTACCTTTAGCCTTAGCTCCATATTCGTGCTTTTGAAATCCTTCCATTCTCTACTGGAATAAAAACAGGAACAGAATAAAAAGCAAGTGTATAATACCCTTATAATTAAATACCCAGTTTTAAATAACTGAAAAGGAGCAAAGGGAAGGCCAAATATAGTCATTTGTGCAACTTGGCCAGGAAGCTGCAGTTTAACACATGCCCAGTAAAGTTTGGGTGACATAGGGAAGGTACTTGCTTGTCAGTCACAACTAGGAACAGGTTGGGCAGCGTAGGCATTGCCTCTGAAAGCATCAGATTTGAGGTACTTAAGCTCTGAAACAAAAGTGTAGCTCCATTGCTTCCTCCTGGAGCTTGACTCCTGGCCTGGGGACTCTCAGGGTCCTGATCTCTTGCATTTGCCATGTAGCTCACAGCGATGGGGACTCCACACAATGGACTGATGGACTGCAAATACTTTAATGCTGTGCTGGACCCAGCCAACCATGGAAAAGAAACTTTGGACACTGACTTTGCTTCTAGCTCTTCTGAATCCTCAGCTGCACCTCTTCCAGGACTGGATTGAAGAAAATGGGATTGAAACCCCATTTAATTCCATGCAAATAAAAATTACTCATCCTCCTGTGTGAGTCTCAGGAAATTCTTTTTGCACATCTCATCCTCCCTCTGAGGCCACTGGAAATGTTTATTCCAGGGGCCCCAATAACCTCACTCCCATAAGCAAAGGAGAAAGACAATCAATGCAATTCTCTGATAAAAGCCCACATGGGGGCTGGTAAGGCCTGAGGTCACTTCCAGTTCAGACACCTAATGCTACTTCTCCATGAGGAGCCATTTTCATTGTTAATTTTCTTACATTATACTTGCAAACATCAATAAATAACTTTCAGCAAACCAGGTGATGCTAACACATTGCACTGTTCTCACAGTGCTTGGTTGCTTTTTTTGGTTTGGTTTTGTTACTTAGCTTAAGGAAAGTAGCAAATGTTTAAAAACAATCAGTTGCTTATGTCCCTCCAACTGGGAAAGGCATGAAATGAAGAAAGCATTCTTTTATGGAACAAAACATAAGAGTGGAACATTATTTTATTTCATTTTATTTTTTTGGAATCAAAGTAGGCCAACTTTCTAGAAAATGTAGTTCCTCTCGTTGACACAGAAGGATTCATGTCCCAGATCCAACCTTCCCCTGGAAAGGTGCACTGTACTTTTCCTCTTGGCCACTGGATACTCATGTGACACAAAGAGTGCCAGGCACTGGAAGGTCTCATTACTTCAAACAAGCCAATGCGTTTTACATCAAGGCAATTTCTTCCTCTGTTCTAGCAAGTTTGTGGTTAGCCCCCTGAGCAGTTGATAGAGAGAAAGGGGTGAAATGGTCGAAGAGAAGGAATCAACAGTGAGGACAAATTCAAGAAAAACTCACTTCCTGCTCAGTGTATAATAAAATGTTTTTTCTGGCTGGCTCTGAGGTCCTTGTCTCCCAGTGATCTCCATTCTGTATCCAAGTAGATTTAAACAGAAATTGGCACAACCATTGGCATAAATGTTTCATTCAAATGAGGCATAATATTGTGCCACTTATCTTGGTGTTAGAAAAGGCAAGTATATCACATACAACTATACCTAAGTTGTGGTTGTATTTATTCAGTTTTAAATATTATGCAGTTATGAAACATTTTTAAGTGAATAAATACACAGAATTATAAAACAAAACCTACAATTTGCAATGAACAAATATAAATATTTTGGCATTTTTACTGAAGCTATTCAGTTTGATTAAAAAGCTAACCCATTACACATAGAATTTCATTTATGTTTTTGACTCCCCGGTCTCTTTCACCCTCCCTGTGCCCTTCAAAGGCAACCAATATTCTGAGTTTTTTATGTATCATTTCATGTATGTACTGAGTTATATATATACCTGTATCTATAGGTTATGTCTAATACTGTTTTTGCATTTTAAACTTTTACATAAATGACATTATTTGTGTAACATTTTATCCAATAATATTTTTAAAAAGAAGGTCCAGATACTTTTAAAAAATATATTTTTATTAATTTCAGAGAGAGGAAGGGGAGAGAGAGAAGAGAGAGAGAGAGAGAGAGAGAGAGAGAGAGAGAGAGAGAGAGAGAGAGAATCTCTGAAACACCAATGATGAGAGAATCATTGACTGGCTGCCTCTTTCATGCCCTCCACTGGGGATCAAGCCTGTAACATCAGACATGTGCCCTTGACTGAAACTGAACTGGGGACCCTTCATAATTTGATCCAAACCAGATAGTGCCAGTTACTTTTTTAATATGTTTTTATTGATGAGAGAGAGAGAGAGAGAGAGAGAGAGAGAGAGAGAGAGAGAGAGAGAGAAATTGATGTGAGAGAGAAACATTGATTGGCTGCCTCCCAAACATGCCCCAACCAAAGATTGAACCCAGGTATGTGCCCTGACTTGGAATTGAACCTTTGACCTTTTGGTGTATGGGAAAATGCTCAACAAACTGAGCCACTTTATTAACAAACTTTTGAGTTGTCTTAAAATACATGCAAAACAATCCCCAATTACTACATATTTCTGTGCAACAATTGACCTGGGATAGACAGCTCCCACCTGACAAGATACTGTCAGTATGACTCAAGAGCACCGTGCAAATCCTCACTGACAGCAGCCCTGTGTGAGAAGTCCCCAAATCTGCACTTGCACTTGGCGATGTTCCACTTTTAATATTTTTTATCACCCTTATGGGCATTCATAAGGATGTCTTCATCCATTTACACTTGCATTTTACTGATTACCACTGAATTAAAAAAGGTATGTATGCTATTTCAGGTTGTTTCTGTTATAAAGAAATAATGCTTGCTTGTTTTTCTATCCACTTAGGATTTTTTAGGGCCTCCTTAGGAAAACCACCCATTTTCACATCATCAGATGTGAAACTTCCTTCTTTCTTTTACCCTTTCCTCCCCCTTCTACCCTCCCCCACTTAAGCCCAGAGAGAGCCTCTCCTCACCACCCTCTCTTATACCCTGTCCTTGACTCTGGAAATTATACTCTGGCTCTTGCTAAACCTGCTCCAATTCTATGACACCTTTTCTACTTTAAATGACCTTTTGTGAGGTTTGGAAACCTCAGAAAATATGTTTGAATCCATCTCTGGCAAAGACGATCACAGTGGTGACCATGTTGATAGTGAACTTCATCATTGTAATAACCCTCTGTGTGGCCACTTATAACTTTCTAAGTTCTTTCCTAGCCATTATTTATTCTTCTCCTAAATTATTATAGTTTTAAAA